TATCTAGCAATATATACACAGTAAGTAGTTAACCATACCACCCAACCTGCCTCTTGAGAAATCTGTATGCAGGTCATGAAGCAACAGTTAGAACCGGACATGGAATAGACTGGTTCCTAATAGGGAAAGGAGTATGTCAAGGCTGTATATTGTCACTTTGCTTATTTAACTTATATGCAGAGTACATCATGAGAAACTCTGGGCAGGATGAAGCACAAGCTGTAATCAAGATTGCTGGGAGAAATATCAATAACTTCAGATATGCAGATGACACCACCCTTATGGCAGACTGTTAAGAATAACTAAAGAACCTCTTGATGAAAGTGAAAGAGGAGAGTAAAAAAGTTGGCTTAAAGCTCAACATTCAGAAAAATAAGATTATGGCATCCAGTCCCATCACTTCATGGCATACAGATAGGGAAAAAGTGGAAACAGTGGCTGACTTTATATTTTGGGGGTCCAAAGTCAATGCAGATGGTGATTGCAGCCATGATATTAAAAGATGCTTACTCCTTGGGAGGAAAGTTATGACCAACCTTAATAGCATATTAAAAAGCAGAGACATTACTTTGCCAACAAAGGTCCATCTACTCAAGGTTATGGTTTTTCCAGTGGTCATGTATGAATGTGAGAGTTGGATTATAAAGAAAGCTGAGTGCCAAAGAATTGATGCTTTTTTAATTTTGGTGTTGGAGAAGACTTTTGAGAGTCTCTTGGGTTGCAAGGAGATCCAACCAGTCCATCCTAAAGGAGATCAGTCCTGGGTGTTCATTGGAAGGACTGATGTTGAAGCTGAAACTCCAATACATTGGTCACCTGATGTGAAGAACTGACTCATTGGAAAAGACCCTGATGCTGGGAAAGATTGAAGGGGACGACAGAGAATGAGATGATTGGATCACATCACCGACTTAATGGACATGAGTTTGGATAAATTCCAGGATTGGTGATGGACAGGGAGGCCAGGACTGCTGCAGTCCATGGGGTCGTATGGAGTCAGACATGACTGAGTGACTGAAATGAACTGAATTGAAGTAGTTAAGGGATGTTGTTGTTCAGTTCCTAAGTCAGGTCTGACTCTTTGTAAACCCATGAACTGTAGCACACCAGGCTTCTCTGTCCTTCACTATATCCCAGAATTTTCTCAGACTCATTTCCTTTGAGTCAGTGATGCCATCCAACCATCTTATCCTCTGTCATCCGCTTCTCCTCCTGCCCTCAATCCTTCCAGCATCAGGGTCTTTTCCAATGAATCGGCTCTTCATATCAGGTGGACAAAGTATTGGAGCTTTAGTTTCAGCATCAGTCTTTCCAATGAATATTCAGGGTTGATTTCCTTTAGGATGGACTATTTTGGTCTCATTTCTGTCCAAGGGACTCTCAAGAGTCTTCTCCACCATCACAATTCAAAAAGCATCAATTCTTGGGGGCTCAGCCCTCTTTAAGGTCCAACTCTCACATCCATACATGACCACTGGAAAAACCATAACTTTGACTCTTAAGAACCTTTGTTAGAAAAGTGATGGCTCTGCTTTTTCATACACTCTCTAGCTTTGTCATAGCTTTCCTTCCAATGAGCAAGTTTCTTCTAGTTTCATGGCTGCAGTCACCATCCGCAGTGATCTTAGAGCCCAAGAATGAATGAAATGAAATGAAACCTGTCGTGCTTTCACTTTTCCCCTTTCTGTTTGCAATGAAGTGATGGGACTAGATGCCCATCTAGTTTTGTTTTTTTTTGTTTGTTTGTTTTTAATGTTTAAATTAAAGCAAGGTTTTTCATTCTCTTATTTCACCCTTATCAAAAGGCTCCTTAGTTGAAGGATATGCAAAATAATGATACAAATATGAAGTCAAAAGAAAAAGTAAACATGGTGAAGGAGGATGAAAAATTTATGCTTATTAAAATGTGTTTCAACTTAAGAGATCAGCCATTTAAAGTAATCAGGTATACATACATTACCACATGTAAACTTCATGGTAATCACAAAAAAATTCTCAATAGCTACACACACTCATAAAAGAAAAGACAAAGTCACCCAAAGAGATAGTCATCGGGGACTTCCCTGGTGGTCCAGTGGTTAAGAATCTGCCTTGTAATATAAGGGACATGGTTTTTTATCCCTGGTCTGGAAACTAAGATACCACATGCCATGGAGCAAATGAGCCACAACTAGAAGAGCTGTGCACCTCACAATAAAAGATCTTGCATGAGGTGACAGAGATCCTGTGTACCACAACTAAGACCCAACATAATCAAATAAATCAATAATTTCTTTTTAAAAAAAAGCCATCAAATCATAAGGGAAGAAAGTAAACAAAGAATAAAGGAACAAGGTGAACTACATAGATTAAATAATATCTACAAGTTTCTCATTCAGTGTGTTCCTATTTAAAATCAAAACTTCCTCAGAGAGAGCAGAGCATAGTGTCAAATAATGGTTGCTCCAGAGCTGCACTGTCTGTGTTGGAATCCCAACATCACCACTTGCGACCTAGGGGACCTCGGGCAACTAAATACATTTCTCAGTTTCTTCATTATTAAAATGGGGAAGCCAATAGTGCCTGCCTCTTAGGGTTATTTCTGTATTTTGCAAGTAAATTACCTAAAATTCTCATTGGCATTTCCTAAATGTCAATAAATAGTGGTGATTATCAATGTTTTGGAATGCTTCACATGAACACTGCAACAAATTTTGTAAGTTTGATAATTGTTATAAATCCAGTCAAGGATACAAAAGAATATTATGCCTATAACTCATGGGTCTCTATTTGGGCATAGGTAAGATTGTCTGCCTTAGGAATTATTTTATTATACATGAGTATAATATTTATATGTGATATAATGTATTTTGACCTACAGCAAGCAGAATGAAAGATTTAAAAAGTACAAAATGAAAGAAAAGAAGGAAAACAGAGTACATTTTAATAAAGCAAAGAAAACAAAATTCAGAAAGAAAAAAAAAAGACAATTGTTTCCTCAGAGATCCTTTTTCTGATGGTAAGAATGATGCTAAACAAAAGAAAATAGTCATACTGTGATAGATACGGACCCAAAATTTCAAATCATTCACTGCTGGGAATCACAGAATCATTAAACCTCATATGTAGCCAGGATGATTCCATCCACATAATTTTGGTGAGAGATTGGAGTTGGAAAGACAGGTACCAGAAAATTTGCACTTTTTTAGAAGCCAGATGTAATGAACATTCTGCATACTGTATTCACATTATTGCTACTGTTTGATTAAAGATCCAATCGCTGTTGAAGCTATAGATTGATAAGGCCCATCTGTCAAAGGCCATGAGGGCATTAGGTAGTCTGTATCCAGCTACTGGAGATGGCAAGAGCAAACATCTCAGAAGGAGGGGAGGGTGACAGAGGATGAGATAGTTGGAGGGTATCACCAATTCAATGGACATGAACTTGAGTAAACTTCAGGAGATGGTGAGGGGCAGGGAGTCCTGGTGTGCTGCAGAGAGTCAGACGTGGTTTGGCAACTGAACAACAACAAGAGCAACAACAACAACCAACTACATTATTCACACCTTATTTGCTGCAAGATCCACTCAATAATTATCAATGTTGGATTATACCAGAATAAATCACCTACTAGTTGAATATTTTACATTTAAAAATTAGGTACATAAACTATTCTCTATCTTTTAAGGCATCAAAATTTTTATACTATAAAAGTTGAAAGATCATACAACTCCAGGCTCCTCGGTTCATGGGATTCCCCAGGAAATTATACCAGAGTGGATCGCCATGCCCTCCTCCTGTGCATCTTCTCAACTCATGGATTGAATCCACCTCCTGCATTTCAAGTGGGCTATTTACTGTGTGAGGCACCAGGGAAGCCCCACTTAAGAAAATGAGATTTTCCAGGCAAGAATCCTGGAATGAGTTGCCATTTCTTTCTCCAAGGGATCTTTCTGACTCAAGGATTGAACCCAGGTCTCCTGCATTGCAGGTAGACTCTTTACCATCCGAACCACCAGGGTTGCAATTACACTTTTACGGTAAGCAAGGTATGTTCTTGAATATGGGCTGCTTAATGCATAGGTACAAACATGGCTGTTGTCATAATTTTAAAAGAGCCACACATAAAGGCTCGTATCAAGTTATCGGAACAGAATAGGTATATATTTCTATTTTAACAAACTTGGTATGATACATAAATTTAACTTATCTAATTTAAAGATCCAAAAGTGATTGTAAAAATTAACATATCCATTAAAATATGATGGTCCACTAACCAAGATTACCAGTCCATTAGTTTATTTGTAATATATTACATGTTTTTCCTTTTTATTTGGCAAACTGGGCAATGAACATCTTTCAAGTTTTAATCATAAGCCAAATACATTTTGTATATTTTAGTAAGTTGCTGTGTTTTGTTAGTTTAATTTTATCAATTCATACTTACTTCAATGAAAAATGTATGTTCTTTTAGACCTTAACTATGTTTAAATACACCACATGAATTTTAAATGAGTATCCCTTTTCGATTGTCTCAAGAACTTACCTGCTGGGGTTGTTCCTTTGTCTTTAAAAAGCATTAGTTCTTTCAATGAGGGTAAATGAAGCAGTGACAGACTTTACTTTCTTGGGCTCAAAATGACTGTGGACAGTGACAGCAGCCATGAAATTAAAGACTCTTGCTCCTTGGAAGGAAAGCTATGACAAAACTAGACAGCATATTAAAAAGCAGATATTACTCAGCCATTAAAAAGAATTCATTTGAATCAGTTCTAATGAGATGGATGAAACTGGAGCCCATTATACAGAGCGAAGTAAGCCAGAGAGATAAAGACCATTACAGTATACTAACACATATATATGGAATTTAGAAAGATGGTAACGATAACCCTATGTGCAAAACAGAAAAAGAGACTCCTATGTATAGAACAGACTTGTGGACTCTGGGAGAAGGCGAGGGTGGGATGTTTCAAGAGAACAGCATTGAAACACGTATATTATCTAGGGTGAAACAGTTCACCAGCCCAGGTTGGGGGCATGAGACAAGTGCTCGGGCCTGGTGCACTAGGAAGACCCAGAGGGATTGGGTGGAGAGGGAGGTGGGAGGGGGGACCGGGATGGGGAATACATGTAAAAAAAAAAAAAAAAAAAAAGATACACTATGGTTGTGATATAAATAAATAAATTAATTAATTAAAAAAAAAAAAAAAAAAGCAGAGACATCACTTTGCTGACAAAAGTCATTATAATCAAAGCTATGGTTTTTCCAGTAGTCATGTACAGATGTGAGAGCTGGTCCATAAAGAAAACTGAGCACCAAAGAATTGATGCTTTTGAATTGTGGTGCTAAAGAAGACTCATGAGAGTCACTTGGACATAAAGAAATCAAGTCAATCTTAGAGGAAATCAACCCCAAATATTCATTGGAAGCACTGATGCTGAAACTGAAGCTCCAGTACATTGGCTACCTTATGTGAAGAGCCAACTCATTGGAAAACACCCTGAAGCTGGGAAAGATGAAGGCAAAGGAGACCAGGGCAGCAGAGGATGAAATCTTTAGATATCATCACTCACTCAATGGGCATGAAGTTGAGTAAACTCTTCTGGGATATAGTGAGGGATTGGGAAGCATGGTGGGATGCAGTCCATGGATTCACAAAGAGTAGAACATGACTTTGTGACTGAACAACAATAACAACTGTGGATACTTCAAGAATCTATGTGTGACCACAGAATACATAATAAAACATGGCTGAGCAGTAAATCTAGAAATAGTTTCAAGTGGCAAAATTTTCTGTATTTCCTTACAGGCTATCCTCACCTCAGTCTTTCACATAAATGGAAGTATCTGACATGGATGGCTAGAATTTGAAGACTTAAATGCAACATAAATATTTCCTTGCAAAAAAATAGCTGAATATTATCATCCACTATAAAAATCCTACCTGTAAACTTAATTTTGAGCTGACTTATGCTCTTCCATTTCACATGGGGAGATAAATGGCCTAAGTTATGGGTTTACACTGACTCATGGAGAGTGAAAACAGGTTTGATAAACTATCCAAGGAAAGGGAAAATTGGAAGAATGGATGAAAGTGCAATCTAGAGAAATTGTATGCGGATGGGTCACACAGAATGGGCCAAAGCAAAGGTGTCTATCATGTACAGTTTCTATCAGAGAGAATCCACCCAAGAGAAAATGCTCAAAAATCTGGTTGACAAGATGACCTGTCATATATTTGTTAGTCTTTTTATCCACTTTTGTGGTCCCTGTGGGAGAGATGAATGTTCTACATAGGCCCAGTGTGCAATAGGATTTACCTTTCACCAATCTAGATCTGATACTATCTCTGCTGAATGTCCAAAATTCCACTAATAAAGTCCATCACTGACCCCTTAATAGGCACAGTTCTCTAGAGAAATCAGTCAAAATTCTGTGGCAGCTTACTCTTTTTGAAACTCCTCAACTTGGAGAAGAAGCATCCTGTCATCATATACTTGCAGTAAATATACATCTTTTCTACCTATAATGCATCAGTTGACTTTGTTATTCATGGAATAAGATCTATGGTCCTTTATCACGGTACTTCTCTCATCATCATCTCTAACCAGAATACAGGTTTTTATGGTAAATAAATAAAGCAAATCACTCACCCTCATAGAATTCACTAATGTGATCATGTTATCCATCACTTAAAAGCATTAGCTGAATAGAAAAGTGGTGTTGCCTACTGAAAACTAATTTACAGTGCATCTGGGAGACTCTACCCGGAAAGTTTGGAAGTTTTTTTTTGTTTGTTTGTTTGTTTATTTTTATGTTTAGCATATATTATGTGCTCAGTAAACTTTACTTATATGTTATGTCATGCATATTCATGAGAAAATATGCAATATATGTTTTATTCAGAAGAGAAAAACAAGATCTTGAAACGTCATTCTCATCAAGATAAATATGTGGAATCACAACATTCTAAATATATTTTTATGAGAAGCATTAAATTTTTACAAAGGATGCTAAAATTTATAATTAAATGGAAATATCTAGGAACTGCAAAAAGTTTCTGAAGAAGGTAAATAATTAGGAGACACTACCCTTGCCAGGAATAAATATACCTTAAAAGTCCTTGACCTCTGGAATATGTCAGTGGTAGGGGAATACAATACAGACGGGGGAGAGAGAGGAGGAGAAAAAAAGAAGTAGAAAGATAAAGAGAAATGACACCGAAATTGAACCTTTTGGCTGGTGTGAAACCTGACATACTAAATACACATTTTTCAAATTACTATTGAATTAAATAAATGACATTAGTGTGTGCATGTGTGCTCATTTGCTTCAGTCATGTCTGACACTTTGCAACCCCATGAACTGTATAGCCCATGAGCTCCTTTGTCCATGGAATTTTCAAGGCAAGAATACTGGATTGGGTTGCCATTTCCTTCTCCAATAATGTTGGTAGATTATTTTATCTGTTTAAGGAAAATATGCTTAGATATTTCCTCATTACAAGCAAGAATAAATTCTAGATGGATTAAAAAATTAAGTATTTTGGCAACATATTTTTTAAAAATTAGGTTAAAATTTAGAAAGTCAGCGGAAGGAAATAAAAATATCCAAGTAATCAAAGGGTAAGAGAGTATTAAATTATGACATATTTATTTAAAGCACAAGAAATTGCAATAACAAAATGAATCTTTGTAGCCCATGTCAAAGAAGAGTTAATATTTGTAGCAAATATATATAAATATATATCAATTAAACTTTTTCAATAAAAATTCTCACCCTGATAGATCATAAATTCAAGGATACTTATAACTGGCAAAGTTTATGTGTGGACATTACATCCCATACATATTTCAAAAAACAGAAAACACAAACACAAGTAATGTTCCCTCAGTTCACAGAGCTTGTTGATCAGTGAACATGGACAATTAACAAAGATTCTGATCTCATCATTTGAAATAAATACACAGATTTGAAAATTAACTTCTGCTTTTACAGAATAATATGAAATGGGTAGTCTAAACAACAAATATTTATTTTTCACAGTTTCAGAGGCCCAGATCCAAGCTTAAGCTGCAGCAGATTGATATCTGGTGAGGTCCCCTTCTTGGCTCATAGGCAGCCATCTTTGCTCTGCCCTCACATGACAGAAGGGTCTCATGAGCTCACTGGGGTTGGTCTCTTTTCAACAACTTTAATCTCATGCATGATAGCTTCACCTTCATGATCTACTCATTTCCCACAGGGCCTATTTCCAAATAACCACTACATTGTAAAGAATTTAAAGTAGGAATCTGGAGAAAGAAAAAACATTCAGCTCTATAGGAACATTCCAAAGAGGGAGAATGAATTTTATATACAGATCAACTCAAATGTTTGATATTACTTCATGAATGGTGTTACACTGGGGAAGACATAAAGATAACAACAACAACAAAAAGTTCCATGTAATGACAGTAAGGATAAACATAAGAATATAAACTTTGCATACAGTACAATTTCCTATGAAAAGCCTCAATTGCCTCATAGCTTTACCTGCATGAATCCAGACTAAACAAGAGAGACAGAAACAAATTAATTTATTTAACTACATGCTTCCAACATATTATAGGCAGATAATGTTTAGTTCCAAGCCTGATCCAGAAAGACTGAGAGGATATCATGCATGATGTCTCTGTCAAATAAAACACTTTATTCTGGACTATTACTTCCTACTGATTTGTATTTCATTAATAAAAGACATATAAGTGGCTTGTATTGTCAGTATCTGTCTTGCCAATGATATCACCCAAATTCTGTTGTCAAATTCTGTAGTGCATATTTGAAGCTCATAGATTATGGATTATGCTAACTTTACATGTAAACGGCAGAGTCTGGGTCTTAAAAAAAAATGAAATACAATAAGCAAAGTTGGAGATGTGAATAATGAAAAATAGCAGAAGTATGATAAGATATTCTGAACTATCTGGAAAGTGAATGCATCACATTTATGAAAATATAACACCAAATGAAGCTGTTCCACTTGAGAAGATGCTATGATTGCCCAACCAGAAAAATTAGTATGATTCAGTTATTTTTCTGTGTATATATCTCATTCATTCAGATTATTTTTATATACTCATCCTCTTTATAATTAGCATTGTAACTCTGAAACCTTCTTCTTCTTCAATATTAACATGCTAAACATATGGACAAAAAATTATAAGTATCTGCAGATAAAAAATGAGACATATACCTCAAATATTAATATGAACAGTCTTTATGTGGGGAAGAGTATTCCAAGTTTTTGTCTTATTTTATTTTTCTCAAATTTGCATTGAGTCCTACAATTCTGAAAGATTACATTATTGGAGAGAAAAACATGAGAATATCTTCCACTAAAAAAAAAGAAATCTACAGTTTTAATTACAATTTAACTTATCATAAGAACATAAGCCTATACTCTCAATAGAGAGATTTTACACCAAAAACTAAATACATTTCCTAAGAAATTTAACAATCATAAAAATATATTTTAAACAAAATAGTATGAACCAGGAAATTATGAAAATCTTAAAAGTGTGATTTGATCATTGGAAGCATTCACAGAATAAACACTTTCATCATGTCCAATATATTAGAACTGTGGAGAAATTTACTACAGTTAAATAGTCACACATGACTTTCCTGGAAAGAGCAAATCTTCAGGGAAAATAGGTAATATGTTTCCCTGCTGCCTGCCTTATTTTCGTTTTCTGATCCAGAACTTTTTCATGGCATTTTGCATCTCTCCATTTCTCAGAGTATAGATTAGAGGGTTCAACATAGGGGTCATAATGGTGTAAAACACAGCCAAAGATTTGTCAATGGGTAAGGTGGAAGGAGGTCTCACATACATAAAAGTACAGGGCACAAAAAAGAGGAACACCACAGTAACGTGGGAGCCACAGGTGGATAAGGCTTTGCGTCTCCCTTCCTGACTAAGATTCTTCAGAGAGTGCAGAATGACCCCATAGGAGATAAGTAAGAAAGTAAAGATGACCACACAGATTGCTCCAT